TTTCCCTCTTTCCTCAATATGGAAACCAGTCCTTGCAATCAAATAGCCCAAAGGCTCAGCACTATTTTTGTCAATTCACAGCTTGTAGTCACAGGGCTGGCAGAGTCGTGATGCGCAGCAGAGGAGGAATCACGGCTCGTGAAAAATAGGTCAAAGGCAACGTGACTAATGCATCTCACAGACAAGCAGCATGAATACACAGATACTCAAATAATTCACCATATATGGTACAAGTTAAGGCAGATAGGTCAGTATCTCCTTTGCAATTGTTTTTTTATGTCAGAAGAAAGGATGGGTTCAGAACTTATTTCAGAAGCCAATTGCTCAGAATTTTCAGCAAGAAACTACAGTAAGTTCTTAACCTAAAAAAATCACAAATAATGGTATTCTGCTTAAGAAATTCTAAAGTTTCAGGCTTGCATTACACAGTTAAGGAAAATGGTATGTAGAATCCAAATTATTATAAGACGAAGTCATGGAAATAATACCAAATGTTCTGGATTTTAACTATAAACCAATTTAAACATATAATTTAAAAATTATTATTATTTTTTTAAGATGCTTTAGTCCAGCTAGGTAAATACTTTAATAGAACTTGAATCCAGGTGTGGCATTTGCACTGGTGCCAGTCCCTTGGTGTGGATTTGAGGCAGAGGGAGGTCTCCTCTCTGAACTGCACAGGCAGAGACATTTTGCAGCCCATGCAAAATCTGCACTGACTCTTTTCCTTTATGGCACGGTGGGTTTTTCCTCCTTTTCTAGTAGTTTACTGAATTATTTTGTTCTGGTAGTTCAATGATTTTTGTTAGGATGTTTCATAAGTATTTACTTAGATAATTTTTGCCATTTTGATTGAATTTCTTTAAAAAAATTCATCCTGTTAGTGACCCCTATTTCCGATACCCTCTGTAGCTCCTATTTGCGTATCTCCAGCTATAGAGGCAAATTGTGGATGATGTAGCATTTCTGTCACAGTTCAGAGCATGCTCTGGCACTCCAGCATTTCAAACTTGTGCTTTAATTAAAGCTTACCCATTTAATGGATTTTAATCACAGATTCACAGAATCATCATGATTGGTGGTTTGTGGGCTTTTTAAATTAATTGCCATTTTGCACAAATAGAGCTTAATTCTGTCTCTTCAATTACTAATGAAATCTTCTGATATATTCAGCTTAGGTACAGTTTTCACATTGGCCATTTCAGCTTGAACTTGGATGAAAGTCCAGAGATTTGTACCAGGCTAGGAATAGAGTTTTTGAGGATGTGCCATATATACTGTGTCTAGTCATTAGCCTTTGCTCAGTAAATCAGGCAATAAAAAAATTACTAGAAACAAAGTATGAATGTATTATTTTTAAAATAATAATGATTGCATAGTCTACTAAATTTCTTTTGTTTCCCATCCCAGTAAAGAAAAAATAGAAAAAATACATTATCTCTATGATGTGTGAAGCTAGAATTGTCTAGGAAAATGACAGAGTGCTTCTGGATGCAGATTTTAAGGGATGAACATTAACTTATTTCTGGAGCAAGGTCAGCTTACTTTTGAACATGTGAAAACTGGGACTAAGGCTGGCAAAATCAGACCATAAAGAATTGCAAGGGGTTAATAAGTTAGTTGTTTGGGGTTTTTTAAGGGGAAAAAAAAGCAGAGTGTAATTTTCTTATCTTTTGGGTATGGGTTATCATTGAAGTATGTGATTTGAGCCATGAGCAGCTGAACTTAACCAGAAAGTGTTGTATATGTCTTTTAAAGTAAAAGTCCT